TCTGTGATATTCAAATAGGTGTCATGTGCAGATTCTACTGTAGGATTTTTCACCCATTTAGATGCAGTTTCTTTATCTGATGTGTTCAGATAGTTATTACTTACATACACTAATGCATGATTGTTTACACAATCAAATGTCATTTCTTCATCTGTGATATTCAAATAGGTGTCATGTGCAGATTCTACTGTGGGATTTTTCACCCATTTAGATGCAGTTTCTTTATCTGATGTGTTCAGATAGTTATTACTTACATACACTAATGCATGATTGTTTACACAATCAGATGTCATTTCTTCATCTGTGATGTTCAAATAGAGTGTTATGTGCAGATTCTACTGTAGGATTTTTCACCCATTTAGATGCAGTTTCTTTATCTGATGTGTTCAGATAGTTATTACTTACATACACTAATGCATGATTGTTTACACAATCAGATGTAATTTCTTCATCTGTGATATTCAAATAGGTGTCATGTGCAGATTATACTGTAGGATTTTTCACCCATTTAGATGCAGTTTCTTTATCTGATGTGTTCAGATAGTTATTACTTACATACACTAATGCATGATTGTTTACACAATCAAATGTCATTTCTTCATCTGTGATATTCAAATAGGTGTCATGTGCAGATTCTACTGTGGGATTTTTCACCCATTTAGATGCAGTTTCTTTATCTGATGTGTTCAGATAGTTATTACTTACATACACTAATGCATGATTGTTTACACAATCAAATGTCATTTCTTCATCTGTGATATTCAAGTAGGTGTCATGTGCAGATTCTACTGTAGGGTTGTTCACCCATTTAGATGCAGTTTCTTTATCTGATGTGTTCAGATAGTTATTACTTACATACACTAATGCATGATTGTTTACACAATCAAATGTCATTTCTTCATCTGTGATATTCAAATAGGTGTCATGTGCAGATTCTACTGTAGGATTTTTCACCCATTTAGATGCAGTTTCTTTATCTGATGTGTTCAGATAGTTATTACTTACATACACTAATGCATGATTGTTTACACAATCAAATGTCATTTCTTCATCTGTGATATTCAAATAGGTGTCATGTGCAGATTCTACTGTGGATTTTTCACCCATTTAGATGCAGTTTCTTTATCTGATGTGTTCAGATAGTTATTACTTACATACACTAATGCATGATTGTTTACACAATCAAATGTCATTTCTTCATCTGTGATATTCGAGTAGGTGTCATGTGCACATTCTACTGTAGGGTTGTTCACCCATTTAGATGCAGTTTCTTTATCTGATGTGTTCAGATAGTTATTACTTACATACACTAATGCATGATTGTTTACACAATCAAATGTCATTTCTTCATCTGTGATATTCAAATAGGTGTCATGTGCAGATTCTACTGTGGGATTTTTCACCCATTTAGATGCAGTTTCTTTATCTGATGTGTTCAGATAGTTATTACTTACATAATGCATGATTGTTTACACAATAATGCATGATTGTTTTCACACAATCAAATGTCATTTCTTCATCTGTGATATTCAAATTGGGTGTCATGTGCAGATTCTACTGTGGGATTTTTCACCCATTTAGATGCAGTTTCTTTATCTGATGTGTTCAGATAGTTATTACTTACATACACTAATGCATGATTGTTTACACAATCAAATGTCATTTCTTCATCTGTGATATTCAAATAGGTGTCATGTGCAGATTCTACTGTGGGATTTTTCACCCATTTAGATGCAGTTTCCTTATCTGATGTATTCAGATAGTTATTACTTACATACACATGGTTCAATGCATGATTGTTTACACAATCAGATGTAATTTCTTCATCTGTGATATTCAAATAGGTGTCATGTGCAGATTCTACTGTGGGATTTTTCACCCATTTAGATGCAGTTTCTTTATCTGATGTGTTCAGATAGTTATTACTTACATACACTAATGCATGATTGTTTACACAATCAGATGTAATTTCTTCATCTGTGATATTCAAATAGGTACACATGACGACAGGCTCAACACATTGATCGAACACTGCCGTTATCATGACTGCAAATTTTACCGTGACTGCTGAAAAATCAATTCAGTATCTAATCGGGTTTCCATCAACATATGATAGGCAGGTAACTAGCATCTCAGTCTGCAGTAGACCTATTTGATAGTCGGGATCGGGAACGTCACTCACTACTGGGCCTAAATCTTGTGAACTGGTGGACTCATCGTCAATAATCCTGTCGGTCTTGCCGCTAGAAATGCTTTCAAATTGAAAAATATTGTACGTACGTGATAATATCTGTATGTGGTATACCATCCAAATCCAGGTTTGACTTCGTGGGTTGGTTTATTTGCCAAACAGAAGCAGACCTCAGTAAGCGAACAGGCACCATAGGCGGATCCAGATGGGGGCGCACGTGGTTAACACGTTTGTTCGTCACACCGATGACCCGAGTTCGATTCCCCACATGGGTACAATGTGTAAAACCCATTTCTGGTGTCCCTCGCCGTGATATTGCTGGAATATTGTTAAAAACTGCGTAAAACCATGCTCACCCAATGAGATTACGAAGCCAAGTTGTGATTTAAGTGTTGGAAGTACCGTAAAATCATCACTTATCAGCTACAATTGATTGTTTGTTGTTTGTTTTATGCCGCACTCAGCAATATTCCAGCTATATGGCGGTGGTCTGTAAATAATCGAGTCTGGACCAGACAATCCAGTGATCAGCATCATGAGCATCGATCTACGCAATTGGGATACGATGACACGTGCCAGCCAAGTCAGCGAGCCTGACCACCCGATCCCGTTAGTCGCCTCTTGTGACAAGCATGGGTTACTGAAGATCAATTCTAACCCGGATCTTCACGGGTGATCAAATAGAAATGTCGCTTGTCACGCTTAAGTGCAGGATTTGATTTAAATTATTGCTCTAATTTTCTTGAAATTAACTCACTGTTCTGCGCTTTATAATGAGCTAGTTTCACGCTTCAGCACAATACCTACTCCTGGGTTCAACCAAAGAAGTAAAGGTCTTAGACCTTTAAAGCGATGTTAAACTTATTAAACTAACTGGTATGTAAGAGTTTACAGTTTTCCTAGGAATATACGAACACGTTAGAGCACAAGAGTTATGTCCCTTCCATTTGCAGCGTACAAAAATTCATTCTAATTAATTATTAAGCGAGCGATAAATTACGGCTGAGATATTAGGAAAATATAATATAGAATATTAGTTTCATCAGCTTAGAGAAAAACACCAGTTTAAAGTAATGAAAACTCATCTCACAGACATACTATTCAAGAAGGTATAAGTTACGACTACATAGTTTAAAAGATGTTTCTACATAAATCCTAGCCTAAGGTAATAAGTACTGTATACTCATCTCCTAGACACACCTTTCAGAAAGACAAAAGCTATATCTACATTGTTTAATAACTGCTTTGATGTATAAAGTAAACATGTCATCGCCTATATTAGAACAACATTAAGCAAACACTTTAATTTAGTCTCACGAAGATCTAGCCCAGAGTAACCATGTCTACTGTAATACTATAATCATTCAAGCATCCAGTAAATGTGTCAACAAGACCTCACTTTGCCAGACAGCTGATGTGATGATAACCGAGAGTAACAACCCGCAAGTTTGCCGGCTTAAGGCTTTTCATTGAGTAGTTGTTACCCATAGTCTCATTTCAGCGTTTGGCAGACTGAGTGGTGTCGGTCCGGGAAAGAATTATTTCAAAGTTTAGTATACCCGGGAAAGCGTCAAACCAGGTTCTGTCGGGTATTGCCGGGAAAGCGTCAACATGATAGAAAACATCAGATTACCGTAAATTAGTTGAGCGTCCATGTGTTTGGTATGTTAAACAAACATGTGAAAAGTTCTGTTTGATCCAAATGAATCCTATTAAATGTGAGAAACCATGTTATAGGTAAAGACAGATTGATCAATGCAGGCAGCACAGAACCAGTCAGAAAACGCAATATTGACGCTCGACTCCAGTCGTTGAAGAATGAGTTTAGTTTTACGCCGCTTTTAGCAATATTCCAGCAATGTCACGGAAGGGGACACTAGAAATGGGCTTCACACACTGTACCCATGTGGGGAATCGAACCCGGGCCTTCGGCGTGACGAGCGAAGGCTTTAACCACAAGGCTACACCACTGCCCCCAACAGTTATTGAGACGTATTACTCCTCGGTTTTTCCGAAACAGCCTATAAGTTAATCCTATTGTTGAGGGATTAGCGCGCATCAGTGATTTTGTTTATTTGGAACCAAAGCTTCCGACAAAAGGGGGACCCCAACAAGACTATTGTAGTACCACACGAATTAGGATTAGCAGGATTAATTACTTCCCTTTGTCTGGCCATTTCATTAATTGTTGGGTACTGTAGGGCAAACCCAATTTTGTATCATCGACGAAACGTAATCGTTTTGTTGTTTCAATTTTAGATAAATACTTAGGAAATCAAAATGTTGGTCAGTAGGGTTTAGACTCTCCCAACAGGTTAGCTCTAGCCCTCAGCCCAGAGGGTTGTGCCGACTCTCTGTGTCCACCCCATGTTATTTCATTCTTGCAGGGGCGGTGGGGTAGTCTAGTGGTTAAAGCGTTCGCTCGTCACGCTGAAGACCCGGTTTCGATTTCCCACATGGGTACAATGCGTGACGCCCATTTCTGGTGTACCCCGTCGTGATATTGCTGGAATATTGCTAAAAGCGGCGTAAAATAAAACTCTTCTCTCACTGTTTCATTCTTGTAAATAAAACTGTCATTAGCTTCTTGTGACTTCGAACTCTGTGCTGAGCTAAATCCCACAACGTCCGGCACGCCGTTTAGAAAAGGGGTTTCACCAGAAACCTCATCGGTACGTTACACAGGCGACCATAATAGTTGGTATTATACCGAGTATATTGACTGTGACGAAAATCGACGACCAGCTTCACTTGTTTCCTATCATGTGACAACTGCACTGTGCTTAATGTGTTCTTTTTTCTTTTCCAGTCCTTCGAAAATGGGTGCACGCAGAGGCTGGGTCCGATTCCTGAAGTTCCTTGCCTGTGGTGGCCTTGTCTTCCTTGTGATCCGGGTAAGTAGCAGTAGCAAAAGCATCTCTAATTATCATATTACTGTTTTCAAGACCTGTTAGAATTGGTCTTCAGCAACCTATGCAAGGGCGGGTACAGCTATTTGAGAAAAGTGGGATGCACAGTTCATTTTCATCCGTTTTCACTAGAGTTTCAATGGTCATTAATAAACTTTCAGGACAAAAAGTCAGGGTGCGCGCACCCCCACCCCCACCTAGATCCGCCTAAGCCATGCCTGTCCTAAGAGGCGACTAACGGGATCGGGTGGTCAGGCTCGCTGACTTGGTTGACAACATGTCCTCATATCCTAGTTTTCGTAGAGCGATGCTCATGATGTTAATCACTGGATTGTCTGGTCCAGACTCAATTATTCACATACCGCTGCCATATAGCTGGAATATTGCCGGGTGCGGCGTTAAACAACAAACCATCAAATAAATAAAACATTTTCAAGAAGGTGCTGGTGGCCCAAAGCGTAAATTCGTTGACTGAGTTACGGCCCTTGGGGATCCAGGAAACCTACGATCGCTGGTTCTAATCCCGGTTCATCCCGATTATGTTTCTAGGTTTGTCTGCGCCATTCATGCTGTGTTTCACCAAAGTGGTAAACGCAAACCTGCCTAAGCATTAATCACCTGGAGTGAGTGAGTGAATATGATTTTTCGCCGATTTTAGCAATATCAAATGCATTGTGTGAAGCCCATTTCTGGTGTCCACTCTGTGGTATTGCTAAAAGCGACGTAAAACCATACTCACTCACTTCATGTAGTATTTGATAAAAGCAGTACATTTATCTGAAGCGTCGAAATTCGCGTCGTTCGTTTCCGTTGGTACAGTTGGGTAGCCTAGTAGTTTAAGCCTTCGCCCGTTGGCCCCATTCCCCAAATCGAGACACCGTTTGAAGCATATACCATGTCTCCTAGTCGTGACATTGCACGAATATTGCTTAAAAAACGGCATTGAACATGGGTCACTCACTCATAACACAACATCTATCAAATTCGACTTACTTTCCTTCAAGAGCTTCTCGGGGACGAAGGGGTAGCCCAAGCGTTCGCTCGTCATGCTGGATTCGATTCCCCAAATCGTAGGTATATCGGGGAAAAGAATGGCATAAAATCATACTCACTTGAGTGATCCTTCCACATAACGTAACACTAAACAGACTGGCTGCGATATAACTAAAGAGCTTTTCACTCATGCTCTGCTTTCATAAAATCATTATGACCAGCTTTGTGATGTTTCACGTAGATACTGAAGTGTCTAGTCCAGTAGTAGTGAGTGCGTTTTACGGCGCACTCAGCAATATTCCAGCTATATGGCGGCGGTCTGTAAATAATCGATTTGGACCAGACACTCCAGTGATTAACAGCATGAGCATCGATCTACGCAACTGGTATATGATGACATGTGGCGACCAAGTCAGCGAGCCCGACCACCGGATCCCGTTAGTCGCCTCTTACGACAAGCATTGGTTACTGAAGATAAATTCTAACCGGGACCTTCACGGGTGTAGTCCAGTAGTAAAGGCGTTTGCTTGCTCCCCGGGGTTTTCCAGTTCGAACTCCAGATTGGTGGAGTATGTAAAGCAACTTTGTTGTTTGTGTTGTTGACGTAATATCATGTTTGTGCTATAAAGTCCTATATAACTGTTTGCTATTAAAATAACGTATTTCCGTTCCAGAAATTGCAGTTTCAACCATGTTCAGCGGACACCGACAACTTCTTCCGATCTTATCCCAAGTTTACCGGAGATACCCGAGTACCTCCGGACGTAACGGTAGTGACTGCTTTCTTCAGCCTGGGTAACTTCATAAAAGGTAAAGATGAGACGTTTGGTCCCACGTTGTATCTGGAGTGGGCCACTGTGTACAAGCATCTAAGGAACCCTCTGGTTGTGTACACCGACTCGGACCAGTTTGTGCGACTGTTCACGGACATGAGACAACACTTGATGAACATCACAAAAATCATCAAAATTGAGAAAAAACAATTATGGGCGTTTGACCATTTGGACAAAGTCCGTAACATATACTCTGACCCGAAGTATCCAAAATACCAACCCAATACAGTGGTTCCAGAATACCCATGTGTTCAAAATGCAAAATACTCGTGTGTCGAGAAAGCTATAGAGAGTGACTTCTTCCATACCAAATATTACATGTGGGTTGATGTGGGTTACTTCCGGTTAATCATAAGCAGAAAGAGGGACTTCCGGTTGACACTTCCTCGCGACTTTGATGAGAAGAAAATAGCTATCAATAAAGTGGCTCGATATTCTTTGGAGGAACGGCCAGAAGATATTTTTAAAAATATGTACGTGTGGGTGGGAGGGGGAGTTCTTATCGCTGAGAAAGGCGTGTTTCGCCAGTTTGTGATTGAATACAGAAAGGCCGTGGAACATTATCTGGATTTGAAGCTGAGCAACTCGGATCAGCAGGTTCTGTTTGCGATGTACTCAAAAGCGGAGGTACACTTGAAACCTACTGTGCAACTACAGCCATATTCGTCTCATTGGTATGGAGATTGCTGGTTCTATCTCGGGTATATTTGCTACAGAGAAGTGTGAGTGAGGGTTTTATTCCTTTTTGGATGGTGTTTCAGTTATATTGCATCGTGTCAGCTTGAAGCAGACTTAATGGGAGACTTGAACTAAGACTTTGATGAATCTCATGAGATTATATGTGGTGAGTGAGTGAGGGTGGTGTTTTAGTAATATATGGTGCTGACAAAAACCCAAAACAAGTATAAAACCCCCACTCACTCACTCACCATATATAATAGTAGTATCAGGAGCATAGTGCGGAGTGGAACACGACTGGACAATCTGCTCGCAAGAATAGTGCGTGGATGAGTCATGAATTCTCAACAGTTATTGGTGAGTGAGTGAGTTTAGTTTTACGCCGCTTTTAGCAATTTTCCAGCAATATCACGGCGTGGGACACTAGAAATGGGCCCTTGCCGCTCTTGTCATGATTCCTATCTCCACAGTTGTGTTCTTATTAAGTAAATTATTTAATTAAAACACACAGGCGTTTTTATCTTCTGTGTTTGCTTTGTTTTGTTTTTGTTTACTTCTTGTTGTTTGTTTTCCATTTTCCATGCTGAATTCTGCAGACATTCCCACCGAATCATTCAGCAATGATCCACCAATAATTACTGCGGGGCTGTCGTCAACTAACATGAAGATCGGAGGGATTATGTGTTGTCATCTTTTGCTCTCCGGAAGATAGTTGCATTATGGGAAATTGGAAGGGAGACAATTTACCAAAGGGAGGTAACAACCCTAACTGAAGAGGGCTATACATCTGATGTTGATCTCACAGCCAAAGCTTGAGATTTAAAGGGAGGCAATACTCCACAAATTGTGATCAGTGACTTGTTTAGAGAGTGAGTATAGTTTTACGCCGCATTTTGCAATATTCCCCCAACGTAACGGCGGGACCACCAGAAAAAGACTACACACATTATACCAATATGGGGAACCGAACGCGGGTCACCAGCGTGACGAACGAACGCATTAACTGCTAAGCTTTTTGTAAAACTGATACAATGTCAGATTACACGCAAAGAAAGTACCGTATTTCCTCTAATAACCGCCCCGGGCGCTTATTTTTTCACCGGACCTCAAGACCCGGCACTTATTGCGCTTACTGGGTGTACTGCAATTAATTGTTAGTGAGCGTTAACGTCAAAGTTAGGGACCATTCCTTAAAGAATCTATTTTGGGATCAAGGGAGAATACACTACCGTATCCCTTTGATTCATGCCGCACCGTGTGGAAACGTGTGGAAACAACCTCAGTTCAGAGGGATACTTACCCATGAAAGGTAGGTGAATATCGAGTTTCTTTGCAAATATCGAGTTAAAAGGGTAATTTTGCATGTTGGAACCATGAAATTATATCGAGATAACCGAAATATTGAGACATCCGTATCGAGTTCAAAGAGCTTATATAATGATAAATAATGAAGGATTTTGCCGGGACAGATATGTTATATCGAGATATCGAGTTATCAGAGTTAAAAAAAACCGTACCCGGCGCTTATTTCTTAAACCGCTGCTTTACCCTTGTGCTTATTAGAGGCACGGCGCCTATTTGAAGAAATACGGCAGTTTGAAAATGACTGGAGCTAAATACATTTTGATGTATGTTGATCCTGACTGGTGTCCCTTTAAGTGGACCGGTAATTAGCCCTGAGTGCCCATCACGTCTATGATGGTGCAGTTTCCTTCACTAAAGAAGTGAATAGCTCGGTGACTTGAAGTTCAGAACGACCAGTCATTAACCTAGCGTGTTGTCAGAATAGGGAGACCGGAAGCCAAGTGTACATGGCAACGGTGATACCTGGTCTTTCGGAATTCCGTCTATCTTACCTTTAATTGAATTTCTCTAAAGGTATGTTGTATGATTAATACTATTCACATTAATGTGGAGCTATTCACGAAGAGACACAGGACGCCATTAATGTGTCTCTCTTCCATTGCTAAACACATCCCTTGGACTGTTGATCTCCAAATACTCGGAGGGATGCAAAACACCACTTTCACTAAGTTATACGACACCATGGTTTGGTCTGTTCTTGACTACAGACACCGCCTCCGTGGTGTAGTGGTTAGAGCGTCCGCCCGGAGAGCGGAAGGTCGCGAGTTCGATCCCCGACCGCGTCATACCAAAAGACATTAAAATATGGTACATGTACTTGTTTGTCCCTGCCTGGCGCTCGGCATTAATGGGTACAACAAGGACTGGTCGGCTCGGAGTCAGTATAATGTGTCTGAGTGGGGTATTCATGCTTCACTGCGGCATAGTATCTCAGTGGGCTAGCACTATAAAACCAGCTAAAGTCTGGGCTAGTACAAGCAGCCACACATACACATACACACGCATGCACGTCGTGATATGAGCGAAATATTCTCGACGTTAAACCCAATTTCACCTCACCTCTTGACTACGGGGAGAATATATGGGGTGCGTATGACGCTTCTAGTGTAGAGGCTGTCCAAAACAGAGCAATGCAGTTTTTTTCTTGGCTTCCGTAAAAATGCACCCTGGGACCCACTAATGCTGTGATTGGTAATATGGGGCGGACTCCATCTAGTGTACGGCAGTGGGGAAGTGTCACCCCTCTATACATGAGACTACCTAATCTACAGCCTACAAGACTGACGCATAAGATTTTCTTATGGGCTCACACCTGGGGTTAGTCTGTCGTACAGACCCTGAAGCAAATATATCCAAGAAAGCAAGTCTAGATTTCCTCAGTTTCAGGGTCTCTGAAAATGAAGAAAGTCTCAGGGCTCCTTTTCATTATATTATTTTTTTTTACTATGAACTTTTTTCAGTAAATTATGTTCATTTCAGAGACTAGTTGTTAGTCTACCCTTGGGTCTGAGGGAGAGAAACAATCAGACTGTACAGATTCGTAAGAAGTTTAAGAAGATGAATCTGCAGCTTTTTATACCTCTACATAACCGCTACAGTAGTCGCCACGTCTCAGCTGAGGTTCAACACAGCGTCTTTTTACAGTTCATAGATGGGTGGAAAGCTGATTCGACACGACAGTATAACACAAATGGACGTGGTGGGAACAAATTTAGACTGTACAGTACCTTCAAAAACGTGTTTGGGCGTGAAATATACGTTTTTAGATATTTGAAGAGATCGTTTAGAAGAGCCCTTGTACAGTTCAGAAGTAGAGTTGTTCCTTTGAGAGTAGAAACTGGGCGTTACAGCGACACAGGGCTTTGGACGAGAGAACATGCCCATTCTGAGATGACCAAATAAAAGATGAGATCCATGCTTTGATTAAGTGTCCCCAATACTAACATGAGAGAAAGGAGCTTTTACACCTCTGATGTGCCAAGTTTGTAGATTTTATCTGTGATACTGATAAAGTAGGTCTTATATATACTATTCCAAACAAGAAACGCATAACCCAGAACTCTCGTGCGAAAATGTATTTTCAAACATGTATAACTCGTCCACAAATAGACTTCAAGAAATGAATTTTTACATCAGTTTAGAACAAGGTAATGTCTATACAACCAAGTGGATAATTTTAGATAACGGAGACGTTGAGCGCCATGGTGACCACGTAGCATGGTCCCGACGTCAAGTCTCCTGGCTCTCAATCCAATCTCTCTCAACCTGTTCCGTACAGTTTGACCGGATATCCTCCAAGTCCAGCTGCTGTGCTCTCACACGTGGCAGTACGATCACGCGAATGTAATTAGATATTTTACTCTAATTTCCTTTAATTTCCTTTAATTTCTCTGGGAAATGATTTTCTTCAGTCACTGAAAGACGCTGGTATCTGCATTTGTGTCTGTGTCTGTGTCTGTATCTATGTCTGTATCTGTGTCTGTATCTATGTCTGTATCTGTGTATGTGTATGTGTCTGTCTGTGTCTGTGTATGTGTATGTGTATGTGTCTATGTCTGTATCTGTGTATGTGTATGTGTATGTGTATGTCTGTGTCTGTGTCTGTATCTGTATCTATGTCTGTATCTATGTCTATGTCTGCGTCTATGTCTGTATCTGTGTATGTGTATGTGTATGTCTGTGTCTGTATCTGTATCTATGTCTGTATCTATGTCTGTATCTATGTCTGTATCTATGTCTGTGTCTATGTCTGTATCTATGTCTGTATCTGTATCTGTGTCTATGTCTGTATCTATGTCTGTATCTATGTCTGTATCTGTGTATGTGTATGTGTATGTGTATGTCTGTGTCTGTGTCTGTATCTATGTCTGTATCTATGTCTGTGTCTATGTTTGTATCTGTGTATGTGTATGTGTATGTGTATGTCTGTGTCTATGTCTGTATCTATATCTGTGTCTATGTCTGTATCTATGTCTGTGTCTATGTCTGTATCTATGTCTGTATCTGTGTCTGTGTCTGTATCTATGTCTGTGTCTGTATCTATGTGTGTGTGTATGTGTATGTGTGTCTGTGTCTGTGTCTGTGTCTGTGTCTATGTCTGTCTGTGTCTCCATGTCTGTGTCTGTGTATGTGTCTGTATGTATCTGTGTCTGTCTGTGTATATGTCTGTGTCTGTGTCTGTGTCTGTGTCTATGTGTCTGTGTCTGTGTCTGTATCTGTATCTGTGTCTGTATCTATGTCTGTATCTGTGTCTGTGTATGTGTGTATGTCTATGTCTGTATCTGTGTCTATGTATGTGTGTGTCTGTGTCTATGTATGTATCTATGTCTATGTCTGTATCTGTGTATGTGTATGTGTATGTCTGTATCTATGTCTGTATCTGTGTCTGTATCTATGTCTATGTCTGTATCTATGTCTGTATCTGTGTCTGTGTCTATGTCTGTATCTGTGTCTGTGTCTGTATCTGTGTCTGTATCTATGTCTGTATCTGTGTCTGTGTCTATGTATGTGTGTGTGTGTGTGTCTGTATCTATATCTATGTCTGTGTCTATGTCTGTGTCTATGTCTGTGTCTGTGTCTGTGTCTGTGTCTGTGTCTGTCTGTGTCTATGTCTGTGTCTGTATCTGTGTCTGTGTCTGTGTCTATGTCTGTGTCTATGTCTGTGTCTATGTGTGTGTGTCTATGTCTGTGTCTGTGTCTGTGTATCTGTATCTGTGTCTGTGTCTGTGTCTGTGTCTGTGTCTGTGTATGTCTATGTATGTGTCTGTCTGTGTCTATGTCTGTGTCTATGTCTGTGTCTGTGTCTGTATCTATGTCTGTGTATGTGTGTATGTCTGTATCTGTGTCTGTGTCTGTGTCTGTATCTGTGTCTGTGTCTGTGTCTGTATCTGTGTCTGTGTCTGTATCTGTGTCTGTATCTATGTCTGTGTCTGTGTCTGTGTCTGTGTATGTGTCTGTGTCTGTGTCTGTGTCTATGTCTGTATCTATATCTGTGTCTATGTATGTATCTATGTCTGTGTCTGTATCTGTGTATGTGTATGTGTATGTGTATGTCTGTGTCTATGTCTGTGTCTGTGTCTGTGTCTGTCTGTGTGTCTGTGTCTATGTCTGTATCTATGTCTGTGTCTATGTCTGTATCTATGTCTGTGTCTGTGTCTATGTGTCTGTATCTATGTCTGTATCTGTATCTGTGTATGTGTATGTGTATGTCTGTATCTATGTCTGTATCTATATCTGTGTCTATGTCTGTATCTATGTCTGTGTCTATGTCTGTATCTATGTCTGTATCTGTATATGTGTCTGTGTCTGTGTCTGTGTCTGTATCTGTGTATGTGTATGTGTCTATGTGTCTGTGTCTGTATCTATGTCTGTATCTATGTCTGTGTCTATGTCTGTATCTATGTATGTGTATGTGTATGTGTATGTCTGTATCTATGTCTGTATCTATATCTGTGTCTATGTCTGTATCTATGTCTGTATCTGTATATGTGTCTATGTCTGTATCTGTGTATGTGTATGTGTATGTGTATGTGTATGTCTGTATCTATGTCTGTATCTATGTCTGTGTCTATGTCTGTATCTGTGTATGTGTATGTGTATGTGTATGTCTGTATCTATGTCTGTATCTATGTCTGTGTCTATGTCTGTGTCTATGTCTGTATCTATGTCTGTGTCTATGTCTGTATCTATGTCTGTATCTGTATATGTGTCTGTATCTATGTCTGTATCTGTATCTGTGTATGTGTATGTGTATGTGTATGTCTGTATCTATGTCTGTATCTATATCTGTGTCTATGTCTGTATCTATGTCTGTATCTATGTCTGTGTCTATGTCTGTATCTATGTCTGTATCTGTATGTGTGTCTGTGTCTATGTCTGTATCTATGTCTGTATCTGTATCTGTGTCTGTATCTGTGTCTATGTCTGTATCTGTATCTGTGTATGTGTATGTCTGTGTCTATGTCTGTATCTGTGTCTATGTCTGTATCTGTATCTGTGTCTATGTCTGTATCTGTATCTGTGTCTATGTCTGTATCTGTGTCTATGTCTGTATCTGTATCTGTGTCTATGTCTGTATCTGTATCTGTGTCTGTCTCCGTGTCTGTATCCATGTCTGTATCTGTGTCTATGTCTGTATTTGTGCCTGTATCTGTATCTGCCTGTCCCTGTGTTTGTATCTGTGTCTATGTCTGTATCTGACACGATGCAATATAACTGAAACACCATCCAAAAAGGAATAAACCCCTCACTCACACTTCTCTGTAGCAAATATACCCGAGATAGAACCAGCAATCTCCATACCAATGAGACGAATATGGCTGTAGTTGCACAGTAGGTTTCAAGTGTACCTCCGCTTTTGAGTACATCGCAAACAGAACCTGCTGATCCGAGTTGCTCAGCTTCAAATCCAGATAATGTTCCACGGCCTTTCTGTATTCAATCACAAACTGGCGAAACACGCCTTTCTCAGCGATAAGAACTCCCCCTCCCACCCACACGTACATATTTTTAAAAATATCTTCTGGCCGTTCCTCCAAAGAATATCGAGCCACTTTATTGATAGCTATTTTCTTCTCATCAAAGTCGCGAGGAAGTGTCAACCGGAAGTCCCTTTTTCTGCTTGTGATTAACCGGAAGTAACCAAACATCAACCCACATGTAATATTTGGTATGGAAGAAGTCACTCTCTATAGCTTTCTCGACACACGCAAGTATTTTGCATTTTGAACACATGGGTATTCTGGAACCACTGTATTGGGTTGGTATTTTGGATACTTCGGGTCAGAGTATATGTTACGGACTTTGTCCAAATGGTCAAACGCCCATAATTGTTTTTTCTCAATTTTGATGATTTTTGTGATGTTCATCAAGTGTTGTCGCATGTCCGTGAACAGTCGGACAAACTGGTCCGAGTCGGTGTACACAACCAGAGGGTTCCTTAGATGCTTGTACACAGTGGCCCACTCCAGATACAACGTGGGACCAAACGTCTCATCTTTACCTTTTATGAAGTTACCCAGGCTGAAGAAAGCAGTCACTACCGTTACGTCCGGAGGTACTCGGGTATCTCCGGTAAACTTGGGATAAGATCGGAAGAAGTTGTCGGTGTCCGCTGAACATGGTTGAAACTGCAATTTCTGGAACGGAAATACGTTATTTTAATAGCAAACAGTTATATAGGACTTTATAGCACAAACATGATATAACGTCAACAACACAAACAACAAAGGTGCTTTACATACTCAACTAATCTGGAGTTCGAACTGGAAAACCCCGGGGAGCAAGCAAACGCCTTTACTACTGGACTACACCCGTTAGAATTTATCTTCAGTAACCCATGCTTGTCGTAAGAGGCGACTAACGGGATCCGGTGGTCGGGCTCGCTGACTTGGTCGCCACATGTCATCATATACCAGTTGCGCAGATCGATGCTCATGCTGTTAATCACTGGAGTGTCTGGTCCAGAATCGATTATTTACAGACCGCCGCCATATAGCTGGAATATTGCTGAGTGCGCCGTAGAACTCACTCACTACTACTGGACTAGACACTTCAGTATCTACGTGAAACATCACAAAGCTGGTCATAATGATTTTATGAAAGCAGAGCATGAGTGAATTGAGTTTAATGCCAGTTTGAAAAGCTCCTTAGTTATATCGCAGCCAGTCTGTTTAGTGTTACGTTATGTGGAAGGATCACTCAAGTGAGTATGATGTTATGCCATTCTTTTCCCCGATATACCTACGATTTGGGGAATCGAATCCAGCATGACGAGCGAACGCTTGGGCTACCCCTTCGTCCCCGAGAAGCTCTTGAAGGAAAGTAAGTCGAATTTGATAGATGTTGTGTTATGAGTGAGTGACCCATGTTCAATGCCGTTTTTTAAGCAATAGTCGTGCAATGTCACGACTAGGAGACATGGTATATGCTTCAAACGGTGTCTCGATTTGGGGAATGGGGCCAACGGGCGAAGGCTTAAACTACTAGGCTACCCCACTGTCCCAACGGAAACGAACGACGCAGCATTGCCCTGGTCTCGAACTCAAGGCACGAATTGCAACGCTTCAGATAAATGTACTGCTTTTATCAAATACTACATGAAGTGAGTGAGTATGGTTTTACGTCGCTTTTAGCAATACCACAGAGGGGACACCAGAAATGAGCTTCACACAATGCATTTGATATTGCTAAAATCGGCGAAAAATCATATTCACTCACTCACTCCAGGTGATTAATGCTTAGGCAGGTTTGCGTTTACCACTTTGGTGAAACACAGCATGAATGGTGCAGACAAACCTAGAAACATAATCGGGATGAACCGGGATTAGAACCAGCGATCGTAGGTTTCCTGGATCCCCAAGGGCCGTTACTCAGTCAACGAATTTACGCTTTGGGCCACCAGCACCTTCTTGAAAATGTTTTTATTTATTTGATTGTTTGTTGTTTAACGCCGCACCCGGCAATATTCCAGCTACATGGCAGCGGTATGTGAATAATTGAGTCTGGACCAGACAATGTAGTGATTAACAGCATGAGCATCGCTCTACGAAAACTAGGATATGAGGACATGTTGTCAACCAAGTCAGCGAGCCTGACCACCCGATCCCGTTAGTCGCCTCTTAGGACAGGCATGGCTTAGGCGGATCTAGGTGGGGGTGGGGGTGCGCGCACCCTGACTTTTTGTCCTGAAAGTTTATTAAATGACCATTGAAACTCTAGTGAAAACGGATGAAAATGAACTGTGCATCCCACCTTTCTCAAATAGCTGTACCCGCCCTTGCATAGGTTGCTGAAGACCAATTCTAACAGGTCTTTATAAACAGTAATATGATAATTAGAGATGCTTTTGCTACTGCTACTTACCCGGATCACAAGGAAGACAAGGCCACCACAGGCAAGGAACTTCAGGAATCGGACCCAGCCTCTGCGTGCACCCATTTTCGAAGGACTGGAAAAGAAAAAAGAACACATTAAGCACAGTGCAGTTGTCACATGATAGGAAACAAGTGAAGCTGGTCGTCTATTTTCGTCACAGTCAATATACTCGGTATAATACCAACTATTATGGTCGCCTGTGTAACGTACCGATGAGGTTTCTGGTGAAACCCCTTTTCTAAACGGCGTGCCGGACGTTGTGGGATTTAGCTCAGCACAGAGTTCGAAGTCACAAGAAGCTAATGACATTTTTATTCACAAGAATGAAACAGTGAGAGAAGAGTTTAATTTTACGCCGCTTTTAGCAATATCGCAGCAATATCACGACGGGGTACACCAGAAATGGTCGTCACGCATTGTACCCATGTGGGAAATCGAAACCGGTTCTTCAGCGTGACGAGCGAACGCTTTAACCACTAGGCTACCCCACCGCCCCTGCAAGAATGAAATAACATGGGGTGGACACAGAGAGTCGGCACAACCCTCTGGGCTGAGGGCTAGAGCTAACCTGTTGGGAGAGTCTAAACCCTACTGACCAACATTTTGATTTCCTAAGTATTTATCTAAAATTGAAACAACAAAACGATTATGTTTCGTCGATGATGCAAAATGAGGTTTGCCCTACAGTATCCAACAATAAATGAAATGGCCAGACAAAGGGGAGTAATTAATCCTGCTAATCCTAATTCGTGTGGCACTACAATAGTCTTGTTGGGGTCCCCCATTTGTCGGAAGCTTTGGTTCCAGATAAACAAAATCACTGATGCGCGCTAATCCCTCAACAAGAGGATTAACTTATAGGCTGTTTCGGAAAAACACGAGGAGTAATACGTCTCAATAACTGTTGGGGGCAATGGTGTATCCTTGTGGTTAAAGCCTTCGCTCGTCACGCCGAAGGCCCGGGTTCGATTCCCCACATGGGTACAGTGTGTGAAGCCCATTTCTAGTGTCCCCTGCCGTGACATTGCTGGAATATTGCTAAAAGCGGCGTAAAACTAAACTCACTCTTCAACGACTGGAGTCGAGCGTCAATATTGCGTTTTCTGACTGGTTCTGTCCTGCGTGCATTGATAAATCTGTCTTTACCTATAACATGGCTTCTCACATTTTAATAGGATTCATTTGGATCAAACAGAACTTTTCACATGTTTGTTTAACATACCAAACACATGGACGCTCAACTCATTTACGGTAATCTGATGTTTTCTATCATGTTGACGCTTTCCCGGCAATACCCGACAGAACCTGGTTTGACGCTTTCCCGGGTATACTAAAAATTGAAATAATTCTTTCCCGGACCGACACCCCTCAGTCTGTCAAACGCTCCAATGAGACTACGGGTAACAACTACTCAATGAAAAGCCTTAAGCCGGCAAACTTGCGGGTCGTTACTCTCGGTTATCATCACATCAGCTGTCTGGCAAAGTGAGGTCTTGCTGACACATTTACTGGATGCTTGAATGATTATAGTATTACAGAGACAAAGACAGACAAAATAGTATGTTTATGTGTCACGTGAATGTACATGTCAAAAAATGGCAACGGTAAAAAGACATAGAAAAATACAGACACAAGGCCAGATGGCCAATGAGACACACGAGACAATATGTGCATAAAATGTATAAAATATAAGATTTAAACATTAAGGAGTATCACACATATGAAAGAATTAAGGAAAAGAAAGAAATTTATAGGGATGATAGCTTACGCCGATACATACGGCTAACTAAAGCGGCCAGTGGATTAACAATAATTTCTGTTTGTAAGAGGAGTGTAGCTTGTTCAGTGTTTGATAACTGAGCAAAATTTGGGTGTAAGATACTAGATTTTCTAAACAGATCATACCGAAGATCAGAATAATAAGGACAGCTAACTAAGAAATGGACTTCGTCTTCGACAGCCTGACTACTACAGTGACGACAAAGCCTGTCTGCAAGTGGCGTCGCAGGACGAGAAAATCTACCACGTTCTATTTCTAATGGAAGTGTACCACAGCGAAGTTTACCTAGAACGCTACGGTGCCATCTGGGCAGTATAGCAGTTATGTATGGTTCTGGAGTAACAGTGTACTTAAACTGTCTATATGTGCGTAGCTTATTACCGTTGGGATTACCCTGGTCATTCCACAATTCCCGTAGCCACTCCTGATGATCTAACAACTGTATACGTTGAAATGACAAAGTCAATTCACTACTAGACATGTGTAGCAAGTCTTGCACTGGGAGTTGCAACGATTGTAATAAAGATGACACTGTGTTATCCCATGATTTGGCTAAAGCCGTGACCAGCTGCTAATAACAGAAGGCAATCTATCAGGTGCCATACGGTGCAACCCCAAAACGTAATACTTCTGTTCTTTGTTTTGACAAAGTACTAGTCCATCCCATATCACCCCTTACTGCCAAATTAGGGGTTTTGCTATTTACGCCAATGAACAATCTACAAGCAAGGTTCTGTACTGCACTTATACAATTAAAATCCTTAGTTCCCCAGAGTGCTGCACCGTAAGACAGAATAGGTTGCACTAAGTTGTTGTACAGCTTATTATAGACGTTATAAGCCATACCTCCCACGGACTTAAACTTACACATCACCAATCCCAGCGCGCGGTTAGCAGACTTCGCTATTTCTTTAGCAGTGTAATTTAAATCAAGATTTTCCTCAAGCCAAAGTCCCAAATATTTATAGGCGTTAGTGTAATCAACATAATCATCACCAATCACAAAAACAAATTTAGATCTCATAAACCGTTTAGGACGATAATGAATAACTTTGGTTTTCTGAATATTAACCAGAATTCGCCAGCGGGAGCACCAATCAGCTACAACATCCAACATTCTCTGCAATGACACCTCGTCAGGAGCGATAAGTGCTATGTCGTCTGCATATAATAACAAACTGAGCCTAACATCATCAATTTCAATGCCACATCCTAAACCGTTTATCTCGTGAGCAAGGTCGTTCACATATATTGAAAACAACGTACAGTAGACGCTTACTCTGGGCTAGATCTTAGTGAGACTAAATTGAAGTGTTTGCTTAATGTTGTTCTAATATAGGCGATGACATGTTTACTTTATACATCAAAGCAGTTAATAAACAATGTAGACTTAGCTTTTGTCTTTCTGAAAGGTGTGTCTGAGAGATGAGTATACATGTACAGTACTTATTACCTTAGGCTAGGATTATCTTTTAAACTATGTAGTCGTAACTTATACCTTCTTGAATAGTATGTCTGTGAGATGAGTTTTCATTACTTTAAACTGGTGTCTTTCTCTAAGCTATTACCGATCATGATGAAACTAATATTCTATATTATATTTTCCTAATATCTCAGCCGTAATTTATCGCTCGCTTAATAATTACGAATGATTTTTTGTACGCTGCAAATGGAAGGGACATAACTCTTGTGCTCTAACGTGTTTGTATATTCCTAGGAAACCTGTAAACTCTTACATACCAGTTAGTTTAATTAGTTTAACATCGCTTTGAAGGTCTAAGACCTTTACTTCTTTGGTTGAACCCACGAGTAGGTATTTTGCTGAAGCGTGAAACTAGCTCATTATAAAGCGCAGAACAGTGAGTTAATTTCAAGAAAATTAGAGCAATAATTTAAATCAAATCCTGCACTTAAGCGTGACAACCGACATTTGTATGTGATCACCCGGGAAGATCCGGGTTAGAATTGATCTTCAGTAACCCATGCTTGTCACAAGAGGCGACTAACGGGATCGGGTGGTCAGACTCGCTGACTTAGCTGGCACGTGTCATCGTATCCCAATTGCGTAGATCGATGCTCATGCTGTTGATCACTGGATTGTCTGGTCCAGATTCGATTATTTACACACCACCGCCATATAGCTGGAATATTGCTGAGTGCGGCATAAAACAACAAACAATCATCTGTACAACAACGTGAGGTGAGGTGAAATGGGGTTTATGATGCCAGAACAGATTTCCCACCATTAAACTTCACTTGGCATAATGTCAAACTAGTTTTATTGTGCCACCGCCAACATTTGTCAAGACAAATGTTCCAATTCCCTTGTTATAACGCTAACCTGTTTTTGCCAAGTGGCCAGCTCCAGAACACGAGCTGTTGGGAGTCAACAGTCAGTGAGTTGTTCCATCCTTCGTTAACCTTCATGAAGAATGAATCCTTTAGTATTGTTTCTCTGGTGATACTATTTTTGGCAAATGAGTGCCCTGATTCAGATTATTAAATGTACATCTATTAATGGACTTGGTTTTGACCGACTTGGCCTCCCTCGTTATAGCGCCATTACAGTTACTTTCTTTTGCCTGGAAATTTCATTCAAGCTTATAACATAAGGTAAAATTGAGGGGTAAGGATATACGCCTTGTTCCTCATCATACAGAAGTTGAAATCCATAAATTTCCAAGACTTTAACATTAACTATGATTGTACTTAAGTCAGTGACATGTTGGAAAAGTGACGGATGTAGTCGGTCTGGCGACGGGAGACGCCTGCAGGGTACAGCGGGATACGGAGGTTTTTATTGGTCAGCTTTTGATGAGATTCAGTTCCCAGCAGTCATAATTACTTCAGCGCGACACTGTATACCTACTGCATGTCCTACAATTACTGATAGGCGTCCTCGTCGACGACATATCAGCTTCATCCCCAGTCCTGGTCGATGCCACTGAGTTGACAGACCGATCGGGAGACCGACGAGGATCACTCAGCTGATGGTTTAGTGTCTGTAACGACATGGCGACGCACACTATGGACTGAGTGTACGGTAGGTGCATCACTTTCAAACACGGTCTTTTTTTACTTGTTTAGAAGACTCGAATACGTTGTAACAAAGGTTTTATTTCTGAAGTTCGATTTTTACATTGTTGATTTTCAAAATTAATACAAGTCCATAGAACATTTTGCAAATAGTTGATAACTGCTCATTTTCAAGTTTCACCATTTTAAAAATGTACCAGATCCCTGTTTATTTCATTGCCTTGTCACAAAGAAATAGTTTGCACATTTGTCTCCATTTTTTGCTGATTATTATATCTTTATGACATGTAATATCCACAACAGAGGAGTTCACTATTTATGCGGTTCGTTCAAGCTTCGTATATCTAGTTTTGTTTTATCAATATCAATAACTTGGCTTTAATACGGCAGTGGCTATAACGACGGGTGTAGTTATCCCTCCGATATATCCTTGGACAAGAGATATAGGACCAGTGAAGAGAGGCGACTAACTCGACTGGGTTGTCAGGCTCGTTGACTTGGTACACTCGCACGTATAAAGGAGGCACTCACATTTAGAAAGCGGTCACTCACATTTAGAAAGCGGTCACTCACATGTTTAAAGTGGGCGCTCCCATGTATAAAGTGGACTTTCACATATATAAAGTGGCACTCACATGTATAAAGCAGGCACTCACATGTATAAAGTGGACACTCACATGTATAAAGTGGACACACATGTATAAAGCGGGCTATCGCATGTATAAAGTGGACACACACATGTATAAAGCGGGCTATCACATGTATAAAGCGGGCTATCACATGTATAAAGCGGGCTATCACATGTATAAAGCGGGATATCACATGTATAAAGTGGACACTCACATGTATAAAGCGGGCTATCACATGTATAAAGCGGGCACTCGCATGTATAAAGCGGGCACTCACATGTATAAAGTGGACACTCACATGTATAAAGTGGACACTCACATGTTTAAAGCGGGCTATCACATGTATAAAGTGGACACACACATGTATAAAGCGGGCACTCACATGTATAAAGCAGGCTATCACATGTATAAAGCGGGCTATCACATGTATAAAGCGGGATATCACATGTATAAAGCGGGCACTCACATGTATCAAGCGGGCTATCACATGTATAAAGCGGGCACTCACATGTATAAAGCGGGCTATCACATGTATAAAGCGGGCACTCACATGTATAAAGCGGGCTATCACATGTATAAAGCGGGCACTCACCTGTATAAAGCGGGCTATCACATGTATAAAGTGGACACACACATGTATAAAGCGGGCTATCACATGTATAAAGCGGGCTATCACATGTATAAAGCGGGATATCACATGTATAAAGTGGACACTCACATGTATAAAGCGGGCTATCACATGTATAAAGCGGGATATCACATGTATAAAGTGGACACTCACATGTATAAAGCGGGCTATCACATGTATAAAGCGGGCTATCACATGTATAAAGCGGGCTATCACATGTATAAAGCGGGCACTCACCTGTATAAAGCGGGCTATCACATGTATAAAGTAGACACTCACCTGTATAAAGCGGGCTATCACATGTATAAAGCGGGCACTCACCTGTATAATGCGGGCTATCACATGTATAAAGTGGACACTCACCTGTATAAAGCGGGCTATCACATGTATAAAGTAGACACTCACATGTATAAAGCGGGCTATCACATGTATAAAGCGGGCACTCACCTGTATAAAGCGGGCTATCACATGTATAAAGTGGACACTCACATGTATAAAGCGGGCTATCACATGTATAAAGCGGGCACTCACATGTATAAAGCGGGCTATCACATGTATAAAGCGGGCTATCACATGTATAAAGTGGACACTCACATTTATAAAGCGGGCTATCACATGTATAAAGCGGGCTATCACATGTATAAAGTGGACACTCACATGTATAAAGCGGGCTATCACATGTATAAAGCGGGCTATCACATGTATAAAGCGGGCTATCACATGTATAAAGTGGGCTATCACATGTATAAAGCGGGCTATCACATGTATAAAGTGGACACTCACATGTATAAAGCTGGCTATCACATGTATAAAGTGGACACTCACATGTATAAAGCGGGCTATCACATGTATAAAGTGGACAAGAGATATAGGACCAGTGAAGAGAGATGACTAACTCGACTGGGTTGTCAGGCTCGTTGACTTGGTTCACACACCTGTCATCGTATCCCAATTACGTAGAAAAGAAAGAAACAACCAGTTAAAGGCGGTGTAAAACACACTCATACGAATCATACAACGAACGCACTCACGTGTGCCAAAAAGCGGGCACTCACTTATACTTAAAGGCGGACACTCACATATTACTTAAAGCGGACACTCTCGTCATGATATGACTGAAATATTGCCGATGTGACGTTAACTATTAACTCACTCACTCACTAAAGCGGACACTCACATATACCAAAAGGCGGACACTCACGTGTACCATAAAGTGGGCACTCGCGTATAACTTAAAGCGGGAAACTATCATAAACAATAAAGCAGACACCCACGTATACCATAAAGCAGACACTGACGTATACCATAAAGCGGACACTGACGTATACCATAAAGCGGACACTGACGTATACCATAAAGCGGACACTGACGTATACCATAAAGCGGACACTCATGTCTACCATAAAGCGGACACTCACGTATACCATAAAGCGGACACTCACGTATACCATAAAGCGGACACTGACGTATACCATAAAGCAGACACTCACGTATACCATAAAGCGGACACTGACGTATACCGTAAAGCGGACACTCATGTATACTATAAAGCGGACACTTACGTATACCATAAAGCAGACACTCACGTATACCATAAAGCGGACACTCATGTATACCATAAACTGGACACTGACGTATACCATAAAGCGGACACTGACGTATACCATAAAGCGCACATGTATTATGCGGGCTATCACATGTATAAAGTGGGCTATCACATGTATAAACTGGGCTATCACATGTATAAAGCAGACACACATGTATAAAGCGGGAACTCGCTTGTATAAAGTAGACACTCACATGTATCAAGCGGGCTATCACATGTATAAAGCGGGCTATCACATGTATAAAGCAGACACACATGTATAAAGCGGGAACTCGCTTGTATAAAGTAGACACTCACATGTATAAAGCGGGCTATCACATGTATAATGCGGGCTATCACATGTATAAAGCAGACACACATGTATAAAGCGGGAACTCGCTTGTATAAAGTAGACACTCACATGTATAAAGCGAGTATCACATGTATAAAGTGGGCTATCACATGTATAAAGCAGACACACATGTATAAAGCGGGAACTCGCTTGTATAAAGCAGACACTCACATGTATAATGCGGGCTATCACATGTATAAAGCAGACACACATGTATAAAGCGGGAACTCGCTTGTATAAAGTAGACACTCACATGTATAAAGCGAGTATCACATGTATAAAGTGGGCTATCACATGTATAAAGTGGACACACATGTATAAAGCGGGAACTCGCTTGTATAAAGGAGACACTCACATGTATAAAGCGGGCTATCGCATGTATAATGCGGGCTATCACATGTATAAAGTGGGCACTCACATGTATAAAGTGGGCACTCACATGTATAAAGTGGGCACTCACATGTATAAAGTGGGTACTCACATGTATAAAGTGGGCTATCACATGTATAAAGTGGGCACTCACATGTATAAAGTGGGCACTCACACGTATAAAGTGGGCACTCACATGTATAAAGTGGGCTATCACATGTATAAAGTGGACACTCACATGTATAAAGTGGGCACTCACATGTATAATGCGGGATATCACATGTATAAAGCGGGCTATCACATGTATAATGCGGGCTATCACATGTATAATGCGGGCTATCACATGTATAAAGCAGACACACATGTATAAAGCGGGAACTCACTTGTATAAAGTAGACACTCACATGTATAAAGTAGACACTCACATGTATAATGCGGGCTATCACATGTATAATGCGGGCTATCACATGTATAAAGCAGACACACATGTATAAAGCGGGAACTCGCTTGTATAAAGTAGACACTCACATGTATAAAGTGGGCTATCACATGTATAAAGCGGGCTATCACATGTATAAAGTGGGCTATCACATGTATAAAGTATACACACATGTATAAAGCGGGAACTCACATGTATAAAGTAGACACTCGCATGTATAAAGCGGGCTATCACATGTATAATGTGGGCTATCACATGTATAAAGCAGACCCTCGCATGTATAAAGCGGGTACTCGCTTGTATAAAGTAGACACTCGCATGTATAAAGTTGGCACTCACATGTATAAAGCAGACACACATGTATAAAGCGGGAACTCGCTTGTATAAAGTAGACACTCACATGTATAAAGCGGGCTATCACATGTATAATGCGGGCTATCACATGTATAATGTGGGCACTCACATGTATAAAGCGGGAACTCGCTTGTATAAAGTAGACACTCGCATGTATAAAGTGGGCACTCACATGTATAATGCGGAATATCACATGTATAAAGCGGTCACTCACATGTATAAACCGGACTATCACATGTATAAAGCGGGCTATCACATGTATAAAGCAGACACTCACGTGCATAAAACTGGAACTCGCTTGTATAAATTGGACACTCGCATGCATAAAGTGGGCACTCACATGTATAATACGGGATATCACATGTATAAAGCGGTCACTCACATGTATAAAGCGGGCTATAACATGTATAATGCGGGCTATCACATGTATAAAGCGGGCTATCACATGTATAAAGCGGGAACTCGCTTGTATAAAGTAGACACTCACATGTATAAAGCGGGCTATCACATGTATAAAGCGGGCTATAACATGTATAATGCGGGCTATCACATGTATAATGCGGGATATCACATGTATAAAGCGGGCACTCACATGTATAAAGCGGGCACTCACATGTATAAAGCGGGCACTCACATGTATAAAGCAGACTC